CAGTCGTTTTACATATATTTCTGCCAGAGAACGTGCTCAATTCTGCTAAATAGCAGCGAGAATGGTGAATTCCCTATCACAATCTTATAAGTTCTGTTAGCCGTCCAATCGAACATCATACAGATTTCGATTTGCACCTTCTCTATGTTTTAAGTTCTCTGGTCTAACGTGATAGACGTTCTCTGGTGTGATCATGTGAAGTGTTGTATTAGTGTATGCCAGTTTTTCCGGGTAGAGGGGACAGATGCTTAACTCATTTAAACAATATCGTTAGGGCCCTTTTTTATATCAGATCAGTTCTTGCAGATGGCTACTAATCTTACATTGAGAAAACTGCCCTAAATCAAGAAGTTACGGTTACTCAAATTCCAATAAATTGGAAGAATTAGTGCGGTAATTAACGCATACGTCCCGTGCAACAATCGCCCATTCCAGTGTTGTAAAGAAAAACGTAAACCTCTTGTATAAGGTGGATTCAATCTCTCTCTTATTCCGAAACGACCATAGAATTCTCATAGCTTACATATTCTGGTGATAATACTTAAATTGTTAAAATAACTGAGATAGTATATGATAAATGTAATGTAGTATTATTTTGATGGATAATTGGGTCTATAGCCGTTAATCGAAGTTCACCATATAGATTGATCGCTATATCCGTCCAAAGCGAGACTAACTTATAAATAGGCAATACAGCATTATTTTGATGGACACTTGGGTCTACAGCCATCGTATAGCATGTCATCAAAATCTATCAAAAAATGAAACGGTGGCTTTTAGACACTACGGCTAAAGCGATATAATTCTTCTTCTTTTTTACTGGCTTAGACACCACTTACGCGATTATAGCCGAGTTAATAAAATCGCGCCAGTCGTTTCTTCTTTTCGCTACGTTCCGGGAGTTAGAGATTCCAAGCGAATCCAGGTCCTTCTCCACCTTTTCGTAAATTCGGACAACATGACCTAGTCAGTGTAGCCGCTGTCTTTTAATTCGCTGAATCGTCGTATACTACGTGATCAAATTGAAAGGTGAATTTTGTCCATTTCATCTCCTTCAAAGAAATCCCCTCTCGCTGCTATGCATTTATGCCAACGAATTTTCCAGCCGTTATAGCACTTGGAAAATCCTCCGTCATGATGGCCATCAGGGTATGAGATGGTGCATTATCGCACTTCTTTGTTCAATAAATTTAGACATAGTATAAATCGACGAATTCACTTTTAGAGCCTC